ATCCACATACACTTGAGCTTTCAATAGTCTTTTACACAGGTTTAAGATTTAATTTGTTGGATTAGCTTTTACCCAAATAACCTACATGGCACCAGGTAAGAATTTTCTGCCAGATGTATTGTGAACGTATTTTTTAATTGCAACATTCTAGTGCCCATAGAAGTGGCAGAGGTCATTGCTGGTTTTTCAAAGAAGTTATGATGTTGTAACTGGGTTCAATTCAATTTCTGTATTTGAGTTTCGAAGATAACAATTTCGGGGGGGCGGGAGGGGAACTTCTCATTTCTCACTGCAAATGACTTCATCATATCCATTATGAATGTGCTAGTGGCAGATCATCAATACCAACTGATGTTCAGTAACATGCCTAATTTTAATAGAAGGGTTGCTAGAAAACTCCTTTATCCAACAAATCAAGTAAACCATTTTCTGGATCTAATTCTTAGAAGGAATGTTACTGCTAGAGTGGGGTTTGGAGCAGATCACTGTCTAAATAGCCAAGCGCTTCACTGGACAATACATTGAGTTCGCACTCAGCATGTGTACTGTAAAATAACAAATTTCATGGTGCTTAAGTTTCACCTACTTATTTGAGGGCTGCAAATTTCTTCAGACAAATGTTCCCACTGACGCATGACTCCAAATCAGAGTTGCATCACCGCACCCACCTGTTTAATCATTTTAAATGTTGTACAGGACAATATGACAATGCCCAGTTAAAAACATTTGGTGCATAGTACAAAGAAACACGTGGGTAATTGTCATTTCCACAATCTCCCATATACATACACGTTAAAAAGTGTAGTCTTTGCTGATCCAATATTCAAGTTGTAGTTCGGTATACCCATACATTTTAATGACGTGTCTTTTCACAAAGTTTTCAATGTTATTAAACATAACATCCAAGTTAGAAGCTGTTGACGTGACAAATAATGTATTTGTTTATTGTCGCAATGACCAAACAAGAGAACACAGTTCAAAACTTGTAGTAAAGTAAAAAACATCCAGTAGGAGAGTTTTTCTAAATTGTTAGAAAACCTATAAATAAAAGCTAAAAGTCCTATTGCATGCGCACTAATTTTTTCATGTTCAGGCATTTTCACTTTCCACCACGATTTTCACTGATCCTTCATGATCTTTAAACTATCCTCAATTCCTAACTCAATCAACTTATTCTTAGCTGCTTCAATTTTCATTTAAACATGTCATTGCCCTATCTCCAAATTTCTATCCACTCCACTCCAGCTTCACAACTGTACGTCAATGGCCACACCCCTCAATTTCTTCCATATAGGAGCTTGCCACCATGAAAGACCCCATCATGAGCAGACCCATTTTTTGAAGTCACTCTAAACTCTAATTTATTTTCTTACCCACCTCAATTCTTCCAATCCTCATCTTCCATAGCTGGAAAATACTTCTCTTATAATACTTATTCTCTTAATACCTCTTGAACCATTATCCTGACAGTGGGATATTTTAACAGGATCTGCAGATGTATGACCACAACTTTTACTACACTGATTCATGTGCAGTTCCCAAATAGCCTCCCATCCCTACCTTTTTCCTGCTAAAAAGAACTCCAATGCATTTCACAGTTCACAGAGAATCTCATAACTGCATACACTAATCAAGTTTCGCAGGCTTAATCAGCAACACCATTCTGTCTTTTTGTGAAGTTATATATTTCTCTCAAACCTCCTCTAAATGACCACCTTCCCTTTTTCTTCTCATTTTCATCTCTAATATTAAATGCAAGATACTTGTGCTATTTGCATTCAAACCCAAAACATCAACTTTCCTGCTCCTCTGATGCTGCCTGGCCTACTGTGTTCCTCCAGCTCCACACGGTGTTACCTCCACCATTCACACTGTTGTCTTTGCTGCTGCATCTCCTCTATCCTCTCCCTTTATCCATACTCAAATCCTGCACTCAAACTCATGAGCTGAAGTCAGAATCTAACACCATCTGCCATTAGTTGGACTTACCCTTGTTTAGGTTTTTATACTTTTTGCGAGGCAAGTTGCTGAAAGAGCGATCGATAATGGCACAGGGAGGGAAACAGGGCATCTGGGACCCAACTGATCAGAGCCAGCAACGGTGCATCTCCTTAACCAATCAGATTGAAAGATTATGAAATTAACAGCACATGGACTGAGGAGGAAGTGCAATTTAAAATGGATGAATTCAATGTCAAATGAGGTACAAAAAGAGAAATAAAGAGAAGGAAAGGAAAGAAAGAATAACAGAGTGAGACAGAAATGACATTTTAAAATTCTTCAATCATTGAAACTTGAGGGAAGACTCCAAAATATGTGCAAAGTTAATTTTCAATGCCAGAGAGTGGCAATAATTAACATTCTCCACAACATAGAAAGGGTACATACACTGGATAGACATGACTTAATTCTGTAGCCAGTTTACTTAATACAGTATATATTTAATGCATTTGAATGACAAGATCCTGTTTTTGCAATGCCAACAGTGGAACAATAGGACCAAAAATGGTGAATATTTGGTACTTATCACTTGCCTTAAATTGCTGTACTATTATTGTAACTAACATCAAACACCATTTACCTCACCATCATTTTGACAGCAAAGTCTAGGCCATTATTCTCTCTCAAGAACATCCCAGTTTAATTCTTAAGTCCTAAAGAAAAGGGAATGGTTTGGAAAATGGGAAGAAATAAGATGGATCACTTTATAAAACCATTACTGCCTTCGATTAGCACTTTCTCAACCATTCTACTTTCTCACTCTCTTTACAGCAGAGTTAATATTCAACTTTATTTGTCTATACAATAACTCTCAGACTAATTACATATGGGTTAGAAAACCAGCCGGATTTTCATTTCCATTTAATAGGGAAAAATAAGGAAGGTTCCTCAACAGGTACATTGCTGTCTAAATATTAATCTGGTAATGAAGATAAAATAGAGCCTACTTAGTGTCTTCAATCGCCTCAAAATCTCTTAATGCTTTGATGCTCTTTAATACATAATGCTGTGAGTCAGAAGGATCTAGGTTTAAATCTCATTCTGTGATCTATGCACAAAAATAAAGGCCAAAGCTCCATTGCTGTATTAAATGTGAGGCAACTTTTGGCCAAGACATTAAACCAAAGCTCCACCTGTCCCAGGGCACTATCTTAGACAGTGGCAGGTAAATTATCTCAGGAGTCCTGGCTGATATTTATTCCTCAATCAAAATCATGAAAATATTCTGACTGTCATTCAATTGCTATTTAGATAATCTTACTGACTACATGTTGATCTCCCCACAGTTTCTACATTACAACAGAGACTCCACGTCAAAAGTACTAAATTGGCTGTAAAGTGCTTTCAATATCCTGAAACCATGAAAAGCACTATATAAATGCATGCCTTTCTTCCCTTTGTTGTCACCTAAAAAAAATTCACCTCCCCCATACCATTCCTTTTAGTTTATTTTCTGTCTCACCCACAACATGGATTACTTTCATTGCACCTATTTGTGAAGTGTGTTAGGTAGCATGTGTTAAAGTGCTCAGAAAATACAAGTTGTTTTTGTCTTAGTCAAAATCATTAACAATTTACATATCTGGGAGCCTCATTTGCATTCATGCTTTGTTACATGCAACACATTTTCCATCATCTCTCTTTTGAACTTTCTCCACTGGACTTTTAGTGACATGCTCAATGTGTTCTTAAAAACTGTTTTCATTCTGTTTCTGTACTATTAGCTCCACCATACACAGAGCTTCAATGTTGGTATCACCCTAATCAATCAGTAACATTACTTGGAGACAGTAAGGACTGCACATGCCGGAAGCCAGAGTCATAGATGTGAAGCTGGAAAAGCACAGCAGGTCAGACAGCATCCGAGGAGCAGGAAAGTCAATGTTACGGCCCAAAATCTAGCTTCACATCTATTAAATCAGTAACATTACCGTTCTGCAACATCACCCACAAAGCTGGAGTTAGTATGTGAAAGCTATCTACTGCTATTGAGACAAATTGAAATGTTATGACACTTTGTGCTGAAACTGTCACAGCAAATCCATTGTTTGTTTTCTATCAGCACTAACTCCTGATCCTGAGATGGTCAACTTTTCCACCATTCAAATTAAACATGGGGACATTTATACAACTTGTTTGACCCTGAGCTATGCTTTTCAGTCCCATGATTCTTCCCTCATTCTTCCACCACCAAAATATTGCTTGTGTTTTTTTTACACAACCTCTTTTTTGGACATATTATAAGTATTACCTGTAGCAGTTGGGATTTTGAACTAGAGGTGGAGACACCACCACTGTGCCATGAATCGCCCTATTACTATCTGTTTATGCTTCTCCTTGTTATTCCCCTTGGATTAATTTAATTAATTCCTTCCTCACCAGCCTTCCACCTCAAAGTCCCACAGAGTTCAACTAATTTAGCATCCCAAATCTCAGCAAATTTACCTTTGTAACTTGTACATATTTAAATCCCATTTTGCTTTTTCTATCTGGAATCGCTTGCCCAGCTTTGTGCTTCTCATTCACACATTGGTTGCCCTATTCGACCACAGCAATGCAGAGACGATGCATACCCCTGATCCCTGGGAATCTCTAACTAAAAAGCACTTTTGAATTGTGCAATTAGTTCCAGGAGCGAAGGAGCACATACGATTGTGATATACATTTCAACATTGTATTCCCTAAAAAAAACTGTTTACGGAGATCCATCACTGACAACAAAAAGTATCGGGGGAGGCGGGGTGGAGAAAGTGCTGTGCTTCTATGCGGCACTTTAGCCATGTTTAAACTGAGAACCTCAACAAGCCACATCTGGAAATCAGAGGTGTGAAATCTAAGTAGCTTTCTAAAAATGAATGAATGAATGAGTTTACAGTTGGGCACTTCTTCCAGGGGCAGTGTGGGCTCGGTCTAGTCTTATTGAAGAGCAGCCCAGGTGTTGATTTTTCTCCTCAATAACCAAGGTGGGGGGAGGTTTAGGACAAGGAGGCGACACTCACGATACCAGTAGACGGGGTAACAGCCCTTGTCTATCACGTTGACTTCATAGAGGCCTCCGCGGACACAGACGGTCTGTATACTGTCCAGCCCCGAGTCCCTGGCCGCGATCTTGAGGTAGTCGCGGTACATGAGCTCGATTCGCAGCGAGTCGTATCCGATGAAGGGTTTCCAGGTCTTGCGGTCCTCCTTGTAGAACCAGCGGACCTCCTCGCAGCCCAGCTCGCCCACCACATCATACCGGTGCCGGATGCTGCTGGCCCGGCTCCGCTTGCGGTCCACGGTGGTGTCGCTCTCGCTGAAGTCGGCCTCTTCGTGGTCCAGGTAAGGCAGCGAGGCTTCCGACTCGGCCGTGAACAGGTCGAAGGTGTCCTCACTCAGCGAGCGGTACATCTCCAGGCCGAAGCGGCCCGAGCGCCGGCGGCGGTGATGCTGCGGCGAGCTGTCGGGTGAGGAGCGGGCGGGCGGCGGCTTCTCGTCGCTCGGCGCCGACATGTGCAGCAGCGGTGGCGGCGGCGGAGGCTCCATGCTGCGCCGCTGTCTCTCTCTCTCTCCTTCTCCTCCTCCTCCTTCTCTCTATCGCCGGCCCGGCCCTCTCCCGGCAGTCCCCCCCCCCCACCACCACCAATCCCCGGTCGGCGGAAGCTGCTGTTACTCGGACTCCGCCTTCCAGCCTCTCATAGGGCAGGCCGGAGGGAGGGAGGGACGGTTAGGCCGGGCCGGGGTGTCCGGCCTGTGCTCCTTGACGGTTCGCCGCTCCCTTGCCGCCGCCTGCTTCCTCACGGCCAGTCGGTACTTCCTCCCTCTGTCGGTGTCTCTAGCAGCGAGTATCTTCCCATCTCCGACCCTCCATCCCTCCCCTCCCCCCCCTTCCCTTCCCACCCGGTACCGGGTCTCGGTCCCGTCCCGCTCGGGTAGCGGCCAAACCCACCGTCACAACGCGCCGCACGTCAACCCCCAACCCCCAAACACCCCCCCCCCCCCAGGACCGGCATACACTCGCCCCTCCGGCAGCCAGGGACAGATTGCAGCTCTTTTTCTTCAAAAAAAAATTGGAAAATATAGTTTATTCATTAAAATATCTCTTTGCATATATGCATTGGCACAAAAAGCAGTTCTGTTCTGTACAGTTGCATATAGAGTAAATAAACAAATCATTGGACTTTGACTGTATTCAAAAAAGCCGAAGACCCCTCTTACACATGCAATACTGGTGTTTACATACATCTGAGGCACTAGGAGGGTCCGATAACTGAACGAACCTCGTTTACCTTCAGCAGCAATACCTCAGACAGTGAGCGATCTTTTCCCCCCCACTGCGCCTCGACAGAATGCCCAGTTCTGAGGAAGGGTCACCGGACCCGAAACGTTAACTCTGTTTTCTCCTCCACAGATGCTGCCAGACCTGCTGAGCTTTTCCAGCAACTTTGTTTTCGACAGAATGCAACCTCCCAGCCCAGAGCGGGCCCCCGGGGGAAATTGGCTCCGTGCAAGACTGCCCTGACTTCTTCTAATTTGCAGAGATTCCCCCATCCAGGAGCATGAAAACATTTCCATGCAGTCCGGAAATTAAATTCCGAAAATCCTGCTGTTGAGATGCGTTTTAATCGTTCCTTTTTCAAAAAAAACGTAGAATTTACAAAAGCCCAACTGCCTGGGAAAGATAATACAAATGTAGATAACAAGGTGTAGAGCTGGATGAACACAGCAGGCCGAGCAGGAAGGCTGACGTTTCGAGTATTCATTCATGCTGTGTGGACATCGCTGAACAGGTCACCATTTATTGCCAACCCTTTAGAAAGTTGTGGTGAGCTGTATTGAACGTAACAGTGTTGATAAACAGGTTGTGGTGTTCGGGGCCGTCTATAGGCTCGGCAAAGGCAACTGTCTCTTTAAAAGAACGTCAGTGAACTCAGTTGGTTTTTATGACCATCCTGTAATTTTAAGATTGTCATCACTGTAACTGGTTTTGTTTTATTTCCCACTTGAATTTAAATTCCCCAACTGCCTTGGCAGCATTTGAATTTATGGCTCATCTGGATTCTACTCATCTAGTGACAGAACCGTCCCATTGTTACAGCATCCCTACATCTTTTCGGAATTCAATCTTCTTTCGCTTCAGCACGAGTCTTGAAGAAATTGAAACGTGGTTATTGTGTCTCCAAAACAAATTTCCAAGCCTATCATGTAATGCTCATATTGCTGTAAATTAATATAAACAGACAGTTTTATTTCGATAGCACACATACCAAAGATGCTGGTTTCATTCGTTTGGTCATAGTAATTTTCCAGAAGTGGAGATTCTGAATAGATCTCAGTATCATTGGTCATCCAATTTAGCTCCTGTGATAGAAACTCTCAGTCTTGATCAATTGTAGAGCTTGCTATATGTGGAAGTAGACTGCAATCTACAGGGAAAGCAAAGGCCAAGATTATGGAGAAGATGGCAATCAGAGTGGGGGGGTTAGGACACATAGGCTCAGGCATGCCCACAAAATATGATGAGGAAGCCAGAGCCAGATGACCAGTGGCATGCACGGAGTGCTATTTCAAGGATACCTGTATGGTGACATGAAGGTCCTAAACATTCCATGTTGAAATCATTTGCTAATGAGAGGGAAATGGTGATGCAGCATGTGGGCTGCTGATTATCATTATGATGACCGGGAGCTTCAGCAGCTTGGAATGTGTGACAATGCTGGAAACAACCCACAATGACACTTGGAAGCTTTGTGTGTGACACTTGTGACAGAACCTGACTCTTGAGGCTTGACCTCTTCACCCATCAGAAAAAGTGCGCCATTTGAAGATATTGTACCCCATCTGAAATAGATTGTTTGCTGCATGTCCATCTTTCATAGATGGAGGAGTACTGATGACAACAGTAATAGGAGAAATCAGAGTTAACGTTTCGGGTCCGGTGCCCATTCCTCAGAACTCAGTTCTGAGGAAGGGTCACCAGACCCGAAACGTTAAGTCTGTTTTCTCCTTCGCAGACGCTACCAGACCTGCG